TGTATTTAAGGGTGATGTTTTTAGTAAAAAAAGCTTATCTTACTCTTTGCTATCGCTTGCCTTGCAGGAAGGCTACTCTATCGTCTAGAGTTTGGAACCGGGTTTATTTTTCATATGTTAAACCCGGTTTTAACCGGTTTTAGCATTGAAAAATAAGCCACTAACTATCGTCCCTCCCGTCCCACCCACAGTGCAGTGCAGTGACCACAATAAGTTTAAATACTTGACGGTTGACTTGTGTGACAAGGTGTAATGTCAAGCAGCAGTGTGTAAGGACCTAGTTTTTTTTTTTATTTTTGTAACTATGAAGCTCCGCGGCTGCTGCAGTAGTACAAGGATTTTGTTTTTGTAGTGATTAGGCTCCGAAGCTGCAGTAGTTGTGCAAGGACTTTAGTAATTAGGCCCCACGGCTGCGGTAGTAGTATAACACCTGGTTTTTGTAGCAATTAGGCTGCAGTAGCAGTACGAGAACCTTGGCAATTAGGTTTCGCGGCTGCGGTAACAGTGTAAAGACCTTGTTTTAGGCTCCATGGCTACCGTAGTAGTACATGGACCTTCGCTAAATGGGTTGCAGGCTCCGTGGCTGAAATAACAGTGCAGTGTATTTAAAAAATCCAGTTTACTTCTAGCCACCATAACTCAATCCTGTATATATGCATAAACTTTACTGATACTGATCGTACTGGTCCTGCGCGGCACCGCGCGCTGCGCAGCTATCTTATTTAGATATAAAGATGTCTATTGTAAATATATATTAGTAATTTTTATCAATTATAATAACCTGCTCTTTATTTGCAAAGTTGATAGAAAAAGCCACCTGTCATTTATAAAACGTCCATTACAATTGAATGTATATTACCGTACAGTATATAGTAATCAATTGATACTATTGTAAATATATATATCGAAATGTCAATTAGTTTTTTTTTTTTACCTTTGATTATGAGAATGTGCGCCCGATTTCCTTAAAAAACAAGTTCATTACCCGTTTTCTATTTGCAAAGTCGTGATCCCAATAGGCAATTGATTGACTGACAGATCGGTTGAAACGTCGTCAAAAATATTAGATGATTGATTGCCCCTTATTGATAATTTCCTTGCAAGTTTATCACTTGTTCTCTGTACAATTGAATGTAGATATCCATTGTAAATATTCATCAAATGTCTATTAGTAATCAATAATGTACGCCCAAGTTCATCACCTGCTCTCTGTTTTTTTTTAAAGTTGACAGAAAGAAGTCTTCTTGTAATTTTTATATACTGTACAATCGAATGCCTATTATAGTACAGCGAGGACTGAAATATTCAGAGTGACAAAATAATTTAAATAAAATTTTAAAATGTTATTTATGTATCCATGTTACGTGCAATAACGGTGATTTATGATTCTTTGTTATGTAAAAAAAATCGCATCAGCCGGATACTTTAGTCCACGCCGTACGGTAGTAATCAGTAAATACTGAAATATAGAGATGTCTATTATACATATACATCGAAATATCTATTCATAATCTGTTTACCCTTATTAATAATGTATGACCAACTTCCTTACAATTTCTCTATTTGCAAAGTTGATAGAAAACAGATATAACAATTAAATGCCTATTAGCTATTTTGGAGTGGCAGTTGTACATTTATGGGTGTTCTCAAGCATCCACCTAAGATGCGACTTTATAGCGATAGAAATAGTGCACAAGTATTATCATATCATTTTAGATCATTTTATTACTATGATTTGTAGTGATGTTCAATTGCTACAATAAATCAAAATAAAAAAAAATCACTGATAATCTTTATTTAAAATTTTCTCTTTTAGTCGCAATGAACTACGTATTTCGTACCTTATTTATCTTTAATTACAGAATTACATTTTGTTTGATTGATTAATAATACTTTCTGCTAGTTAAAAATTTAATTCTCGACACATTTTCGACATGTTTCTTAGCATAATCAGTTTTTTAAAAATAACATGTACATATAATTAAATTTCTAGACATATTAGATCTTCAATATGATAGCTTGAGGTGTAAGCAACATTGTTTTTTTTTACTAAAGAATATATTTATATATGGAAATCGGTGCAACTTTTTTTTCACTGCATTTTTTTTCATTTCAATCAATTTTGACGTTTCCTTTTTATCCACGTGAAATCCTTTCATCACATTTTCATCATTTATAAAAAGTAATTTTCAATGTTGAATGTTAAAATATTTTTGTGAACAAAATATTGTGTCTATATGAGTAAAACGATGAAGAAATTGTTTCTAAAGATACAAGCCCTGGAAAAGTTGATGAGTGGAAGGCTGATATTGTTGAAAGAATGAAAAATAATATTTACGATTCCAAACCTAAACACCAATCGAAGGCTCTATCGACATTAAACAATGGGCAATATTCCAAAATAATCTAGAGCATTTTGTAAATTTTGAACCAACTAAATGGGATTTAGTTCTTTTAGATAATTTTCTTGAGAAATATTCTGAAGGTGGTACTCTCGAAGAATTTAAAAAATATTTAGAAGAAAAAGATAAAATGGCTGAATCATCAAAAAAAATATTAAAACAACAGATAAAGTAACAGATAAAGTAGCAGATAAAGCAAGGAATTATTATACGAACGTAAAAAAACGTAGTCGTAAAAGTCGTTACACAAAAAATTTACTTATAGTTACAAGAATTCTAAAAGAGAATAACATGCTGGATTAAAGAGAAAAATTTTTTATAAGCTCAAGAGTTACAAAGACTATTTTATCTGATAAGGATATTTCTCCAATTATCGACGAGTTTGTAAAAATAGTGTTAGTATTCCAATTCATGTAAAAATTGCTTTAATCGTAAACTAAAATAATTTTTTTTTATTATTATTAGCAGGAAATAATCTTATGATGCATTTATCAAATTAAGCAAAATTCACTCACCAACTTCAAGTATTTGACCAAATTACATATTAATTACAGAATTAATCAATGAAAAAATTTTTAGACTCTTAATCTATGTTATCTATGTCAATGATTCGTTTAACACGCCTCAAATGAACGTAGAAATATGTGCCTGAAGTATTGGTTAGCAAAGTCAATGATCAGTATTATTTATTGTCGGGGATGATGCTGAAATCGGATGATGCTGAAATTCACGTGATCACATGATGATCTTCCGTATA